GCTCAGCTTCTCAGGAGTCAGGAACAGCAGCGGCACGCTCAAACCCTCGCAGCGCCTGCAGCAAACCCTAAACCCTAAACCCTAGACCCTAAACCCTAAACCCTAAACCCTACGCCCAGAGGGCGGGGCCAGAGCGGCTGCGGGACGTGGAGCTGCTGCTCAGCTTCTCAGGAGTCAGGAACAGCAGCGGCACGCTCAAACCCTCGCAGCGCCTGCAGCAAACCCTAAACCCTAAACCCTAAACCCTAAACCCTAAACCCTACAGCGTAGAATCTCAGCTTTAGCACACCAGACAGAGAAGACTCAGGAGTCAGGAACAGCAGCGGCACGCACAAACCCTTGCTACTTCTGCACTCGCAACAAACCCTAAACCCTAAACCCTAAACCCTAAACCCTAAACCCTAAACCCTAAACACTAAACCCTAGCGCGAAACAGGAAGCGCGGAATAAGAAGCAGGGAATGGGAGTCACAAATAGCAGCAGCACGCACAAACCCTCACAATGGCTCCACATACAACGTAACACAAACCCTAAACCCTAAACCCTAAACCCTAAATCCTAAACCCTAAACCCTGGAGCAGAACACGAAAACCCGAGACCCGGAGCCCAAAACACGCTAAACCCTAAACCCTTAACTCCAAACCCGGAGCTCGAAGCCGGCTAAACCCTAAACCCTAAACCACAGACCCGCCCAGTAGACCCTAAACCGTAAACCCTAAACCCTAAACCCTCAAGCGGAAGCTGAAGCCACACAGCGCAGCGGAGACCGTTTGGCTTTGCTGCTGCTGCACAGCTGCTGCTGCTGTCTCTTTGAAGTTACCGGGGGCAGGGAAGGGCACTAGGGCTTAGGGTTTAGGGTTTAGGGTTTAGGGTTTAGGGTTTGCGTACAGGTCATCGTAGACCTGCCGCTGCTCCTCCCAAGTCTGGTTTGAAGTGAAGGCTCTGCACTCAATGCCCAACTCCTGCAGCTGAGCCATTTGATCCTGCAGCAGCAGCAGCAGCAGCAACAGCAGCAGCAGCAGCAGCAGCAACAGCAGCAGCAGCAGCAGCAGCAGCGAAGGACCAGCCATTCTGTTTTGTTAGAAGCACAGCAGCAGCTGCTGCTGCAGCTGCAGCAGTAGTTGCAGAAATAGCTGCAGCAGCTGCTGCAGCAGTAACTGCAGCAGTAGCTGCAGCTGCAGCAGCAGCTGAAGCAGCAGCAGCAGCTGCAGCAGCTACAGCAGCAGCAGCAGCAGTAGCTGAAGCAGCAGCAGAATCAGTAGCAGCTGCAGCAGCAGCCGCAGCAGCAAAACTCGTTGCAGCAGTGCATGCTAACGCAGCATAGAAAACAATGATAACGGTAACTCCTCTAGATTCTAAACCCTAAACCCTAAACCCTAAACCCTCAGGAAACAAAACACTCGAAACCCAAAACCCTAAACCCTAAACCCTAAACTCTAGAAATAGCAGGAGTATTTAAAAGATTCTTGAAAGAAAAACAAACGCCAAAGAATAGATTAAACCCTAACACAATTCATGTCTCTCCGACAATCCCTGCCCTCAACCTAAACCCTAAACCCTAAACCCTAAACCCTAAACCCTACCTGCATCAAAGACAACAGAGGCATCACCACTGCTGTCAAACCCTGCTGCAGCACTGCAGGCAATTGGAAGCAAAGGCTTTTCCCGCCGCCCGTGGGCATTATAACAAACACGTCCCGCGCACTCAAGACCGCGTCGATCACCGCTTTCTGCGCAAAAACCCGCAATTTTCGCGCGCTTCGAAGCTCTTCAAAACCCTTTTTTAGGGTTTGCGAGAACTGGCCTCTACTGGAGATTAAAAGGGACAAAAAACCAGACAAAAAGACCCAAAATTGATCGAAAAACAGAAAAAAAGGCTGAAGGGTTTTCATAAAAAACAAAAGATGAGACTTTCATAGTGAGGAGACTAAGGCACTTTCGGGTCTTCTATTCCGCCTCTTTGCTTTATGCACAAATGCTACCTAGCTAGCTGGCTAGCTAGCTAGCTAGCTAGCTGGCTAGCTGGCTGACTAGCTAGCTGGCTAGCTGGCTGACTAGCTAGCTGGCTAGCTAGCTAGCTAGCTAGCTAGCTGGCTAGCTGGCTGACTGGCTAGCAGGCTAGCTAGCTGGCTAGCTAGCTGGCTAGCTGGCTGGCTTGTTGGCTAGCTGGCTGGCTAGCTAGCTGGCTAGCTAGCTGGCTAGCTGGCTGGCTTGTTGGCTAGCTGGCTGGCTAGCTAGCTAGCTCTCTAACTAGCTACCTGCCCAGCTGCCCAGCTAACTACCTAGCTAACTGGCTACCTAGCTAGCTACCCAGCTAGCTAGCTAGCTAGCTAGCTGGGTAGCTAGCTGGCTGGCTAGCTAGCTGGCTAGCTAGCTAGCTGGCTAGCTGGCTAGCTGACCTGCATGGGCCTGAAGGTGAAGTTGCGGAAAACAGTTCTGTTGATTTGCTGGACTTGCGAGTCCCAAGGAAAAGACTTTCCTTCCCAGTTGTCTCCACTTTCTTCTTTTGGATTTTCATTTTCTTTTTTTTTATTTTTATTTTTATTTTCTTTTTTTTCTTTTTCATTTCCTCCAACTTCCGTGAAAGTCTGCAAAACCACGGGGCCCCCCCACGCGTCGTAGTCCCCGGCCCCCACATCGTACCGGCTCACACCTGGCTCTGCTGCTGCTGCTGCTGCTGCTGCTGCTGCTGCTGCTGCTGCTGCTGCTGCTGCTGCTGCTGCTGCTGGGCTGCCAGGGGCCCCAGGAGCTGCTGCCCTCGCGGCTGCTAAGAGACTCAAAGCGAGAGCCCCGGGGGCCCCCCGAGTAGAAGTCCCCAGATGGGGGGCCCCCGGAGTTGGGGGCCCCCCAGGGGGGCCCCCCAGGCCCGGGGGGCCCCTGCAGCAAACCCTCCTGGGGGCCCCCTGG